GGCGTGAGTACTCATTGCCAAAAACCGGTCATACATTCAGGCTCAGGGTTCAAAATTATGAAATTCGAATATTATTGGCTGTCGTGACCAAAGACCAAATTCAAATTCTTATTCTTGACAAAAACGTCACCACTTGAACACCGACATGTACTTACAATAAAATCTTGGGATTGAATCTGAAGCTCCAAACATAACAGTCAAACTTACTAGGTACCACAAAACTATCGCGATCGAAGCAAATTTAAAAAAAAAGGTTTTAAAAAAAAGATACCTACGTAATTAAGACACGACATTCCGTAATCCGTAACAAACTTTTTGAAAATCGAAAATCTGTTGATTCTTCTTCCAGTCACCTCAACTGTTGTAGCAATAGACTCACACAAATTTTCTTATCACAAACACACCTACCTACTTTTAAGTTTTAACACCAAAATATTAAACAAACAGTAGTTGCAACTTTAAATTTAATACTAACAAGGCGTCACGTGATTGGCCAGTCGGTGCGACTTGCGACAGATTATAATCGTCGGTAATGTGACCCGCCGACGTTCTAATGAAATCATTGTCGACTCGTTCCCTTAGGCTTCCTGCACGCTAAGCGACTTGTCGACTAATCGTAACAACTTTATGATGGGGAATTACGGTGTATTTTATTTTGTTTAGTCAGGGCTGTGTAGGATTTTGTTGTTTTTAGCTTTTATTATTTTGTTTTTTTTTTGCAATGATGGTAGTCGATGGCGCTCTATTTTCTATGTCTACCCGCTCTGGAGCTGTTAGTTCATCTGTGTATTTTATTAACATAAATGTTTAAGCAGCCTGAAATGACATTTTGATGGAATGAATATAATTTTCGGATAGATTTTTCTTGTGTATTTTACGTAACATGAGGTATTTAGTTGATTAGAAGTCCGAACATGATATACCCTGAGAAATCAACCTATCTAGATTTGAGTCCATACAAGACATTATTATTTCACCAATGTCATCGGGGTCGTGGTAAAATATTCAGAAAACTGGCTACATTCCCAGTTGCCACGTTGGATGGTAACATATAACCTCTGACCAAATAATTCTTTTATAAACTAGGTACGTTTAAAAAAAACCGACTTTGTCGGTTAATAAAAGTAGTAAAAAATAAAAAATAAAAGTAGTAAATAGTAAAAAATCTTCTCAATATACAATTTAAAAAACACTTCTCATCAAAATAATGTGTGGGAGAGCCATGCTTCGGCACGAATGGGCCGGCTCGACCGGAGTGATACCACGGCCTCACAGAAAACGGACGTAAAACAACGCTTGCGTTGTGTTTCGTCGCGTGAGTGAGGTTACCGGACGCCCAATTACCCTCCCCATCCCCAATCCCCTCAATCCCTGAATCCCCAACGATCCTCAAACTCCTAATCCCCAAAAGGCCGGTAACGCACTTGTAACGCCTCTGGTGTTCCAGGTGATCCGTCTGCTCGTATACCGGCTTATGCCATAAAAAAAATCAGTTCAGCCAATCGTGAGATTATTGCACACAAACATACAACATAAATACATAAAAGTCAACTGAGAACCTTTTATTTGAAGAAACCAACTTAGTTGTCGACCTGAAGCGCTTCTAACCAATAATCTTACGAATGCTAATAATTTATCATGTTTTCGACTTACTCACGTAATTGTTTGACGAAGAACTCGACTAGTTTCAAACCATGCGAGAGGCTCATATTCATGAATATGAGAAAACTCGTCGAACAGTAAGCCGAAAACATCTTATCTTATATACTATATAACAATAAAATTATACTATTATATAAAGCGAAAGTTTATTTTTTTGTTTGTATGTTTGAATGCGCTAATCTTCCGTAACTACAAGTCTGATTTGAATAATTCTTTTTGTGTTGGATAGCGCATTTATCGAGGATGGTTATAGGCTATAAAACTTCACGCTACGAACAATAGGAGCTGCGCAGAGCGTGTGAAACCGCGCGGAAGTAGCTAGTAATAAATAATTTGTATGTCTCACACAAGTTTCAATATAAACTTATAAATGCTGGAATGTAACGTTACAAGAAAAACATTATTTATCATTTAAAGTGTGGAGATACTGAGATAGATAATAATATTCTAAACCTAATTATCACTAATGTTATCTACTGATTAGTATCTAAATCTTAATACCTAGCTGTCAACTAGTTTGACCAGCAAACTCTATGTAACCCAATATTTATTGATTTGCTAACTATTAGCGACTAACATATCAGTTTATATGTATATAAAAAATAACCGGCCAAGTATCTCGGTGTCGCATACAAATGGTTCCGTCCGTATTTTTTTTTTAGTCAAGGCCGCCCCATCCTCCCAAAACCGCTGCAACTCCTGTAAGCCAGGATCTACAGTAGATAGAGTAGAGTAGATAAGTCCAGCGCGTCCCAGTGACATGAGTAACTGTCTTGGTTCCCGCAACGAAGTGAATCAGAAGATATTATAAGAGGAGAAGAAAAAAATGATAGTTTCCACTTCTCTCAGTGAATTACTGCAGAAGACAGACAACTAAGCCTGAAGCTCTTCACCCAGTTGGGTGAAGCCCAGTCGCCAAGCACCACGGAAATTTGACTAAAAACTAAGTGGGTCCTAAGTGTGAGCTGTTATACTTGCTTCCATCCGTATATACACAATTTATAATATTACATAATTTATATCCTTGCTATTAAATAATGGAGTACCTATCTTAAAAAATCTAAATGTCTAATTACCCGACTCAGTTACTGAGCCGGAGATTCTTTGACCAGTATTGTACCCCTAGCACCAAATTAGTTAGGTTACTTTTAGATGCAGTAAAACTAACCATTAATGTAATAAATTATTAATTTTAACTAGTCATTGAATCATTTCCTTGGCAACAGGATAGATACCTATAGATAGGTACTATATTCGGTTCCATCGTCATCGCTGTCTCACGAATTAATTTTGTTTTTATAATAACTATCGTGAGACATACTAAAATAACTAAAAATCGCGAGTAACTCACGTGAAAACACTGAGAAAAGCTCTACTAGTTTCGAACCACAGAGGGGTTCTTCTTCATGAGCAGCGTGCGCGGTCGCGACAACAGTAGGTTGCACGACATCGCGGCAACCGTTTCTAGTTAAATTAATTTTAGTTTGCAGGTGTGTGACCAGCCTAAAAGGGATCCATTGTCCCACCTACGTGTTTGAGTTGAAACTTACAACGTTTGACTTTAGCACCAGATTCGTTTCAGTTCCACTACTTTATTTTAATCTCGGATGTCAAATCCTTTACATCGGATTAATATTTAAGTATTCAACAAAGAGTAGCACACCCCAGCATCGTTACCAGTTACCTACATACTTTTAAGGGTCAAAAATCTCCAATATCACCAACCCAGAATCGAACTGACTACAACAATACTTTAGGACCTCGACCTTAACGCTACGAGTTACAACACTGAACTGAATAATAGGTATCAACTCAAACCCCTAAGCGGGCTGTTATTTTGTATCGTACAAAATCATTCAATCTCACAATCCCACGCTACCTTTGATCATTCAAGAAATACCTAAAAGAAATTGTAATTCACAAATGCGACGTACCTATACCTACCTATTACCAACACGTATACACCTAATTCTTATAAAACCTATCAATGATAGTAGTAAATAGATATCTCCTACAAACAAAATACCTACCGGCCGCCATTTCTCAGTTCTACCTACACGAAAGGATAAGTAGGTATTGAAAACAGTAGGCATCAAGCGACCCACGCACATTTACATACGAGTATACGGCCACAAGAACTCCGCAACACGCAACACATACAAATTCTCGAAACTAAAACTATACTAAAACTAAACGCACTTCATCACTCCATTCATAGTTACCCATTCACAACGAAGCCCGCCAAAACTATCAGTGTTGCCAAAATAACAAGCCGAATCACACAAAACAAACTATCAACATTAACAATCATTATAATTTTATTTAGCCTCTGGCGAAACTGAGGCGTAAGGATTCGAGATGAGAAAAAATGAACCCCTTCCGCAAAGAATTTAGGAGCGCCCGCGACCGGGACGGAATACAACTTGCTCGTTATAAATTTTGTGTAAGATAACAATGCGTACGTGTGGGTGTGTGGTACAGTCGCTGACGAGTATAGTTACGGCACGCAATAACGCTAACAAGCGTGCGAGCGAGAACCACACTCCGCTGTATAGCGGTGTCCCGCTCCCCCCGCCGGCAACATGGCGCGCTGACTCGGGCGCAGGCTCGAATCGTATCGCCTGCCCACTCAAGGTTCGCTGACTGCCGTTCTTTTGTTTTTAATGTTGCCATGTGAGAACTTCTCCCCGGATTAGTGTAGTTCTTTGAATTTTATTTAAATTATTTTCGTGCGTCAGTGTTGCCTTACATTTATTTTTAATGGTAAACGTAAAATTGAGCAGTGTCATGTTTTTTGTCGTGGTAATTCTTACAACACAATATTCATGTTTTACACACAATTAAGGTAAGTTGGACCTAGTCAAAGTGGAATATGAATATATAATTTTCATTACAAGACCATAATAAAATAATAATTAATCAATATTGTTCAGATAGATTTAATAACTTAATACCTAAGTACCTACTTTTTGTTTATGACAAAACTATTGAAATAAGAATTGAGTAACATCTGGACACTACTTTACTAAAACACGTGGTATTTTTCAAGCAACAATATTTCTTGATTTTATAAAGATGTTTTAATTTTTTTTATGTCAGTGTCATATCTATTTACCTGTTTATTTCAAAAAACGTTAGGCCGTTAAATGAAATATGTGGAGAGTGTTATAAGTAGTTCGGGAACCCTGGACCGCAGACGAAAACAGCGTCAAGCCGAGGACCTGCTCAAACCGAACGTCTGCATACCGATCGTTGGTTTTTTATAAGCGCGCGTCGGTGCACGCGGCCGTGTGCCTGTGTGAGTGGGAGTGCGTCAGTGTGCGGGGCGGCTCGTTCTCGCGCGCGCCTCGCTCCATTGTTGTGTGCAGTAGACTCGCGACTCTCGGCCGGCCGCGGTCCGTATCACGCGCTCGCGGACAACGACTAAAACTGCCGGCGATAAACAAAATAATGACCAGTGTACCACATTACGTGCATCGCGAGTGCAACAAGCGACAACAGTGTGTGATAACGAGTATGTAACGTGCGTGTTGTGTCAAACGGTGTGCGTTTTTCGACGTGTTTTGGAGTTTGAAGGCGCGTGGACAGCGCAATGCACGTCGTGTTTAGGTATGTGCCGACCGATTAATTATGGCCCATCAGTGAGGGGTCGGTGGCCTGCAATTTCGCCACTGAGATCGTTTAGTGTATTTTTATAATGGGTGACAGATTTCGCGACGGTACGGTTCGGCCGCGGCGTGTGGCGAGCTATTTACTCGCCGCTGTTTTCGTTTACATATACAGAACAGGCTGGCGTCAACGTTTTCTAGTCACATCCGTCGTTTCTTGTGGTGTTTTATGTGCATTTGGCGCCGGCGGTGTGTTATCAGTGCTCGGGAAGTGTGTCGAGTAATTTATAACGTAATTAATGCGTTATCGGTGACGGTGAACCGATGGAGCCGCGTGAAATGTGAACTTTGCATCCACTTGTGACCGTCTCGGCGGGACGCAAGCCATTCTGCTTACACACTTTTCAAATCTCACGTTTGACGCTCGTAAACGTAACTTACTGCAAGGCGCTAGCCATTGGTTGAATGCAAATGCCTGTGTCATAAAAAAGGCAATAAAAACATGCTTGATAAAGTACGATGCTCATCTAATCACCTCCAGTTGTTAAAGATAAACTGTTACTACACAAATATAATCACAAAACGCGCTGGTTTTATACTGATTTAAACGTATCGTCGTTGTCACTTGTCAAACTTCAATAACATGGAGCTTAAAGTAGTCTTACTATTTGAAAAATGAACTGTTTCTCACACTTCAAGAAAGTTAATGCCAACCTAACAAACTTTAATAAGGTAACAGTACCAGTAGTCATCCATAACATCAATTAAACCCGTTTACTTTGTTTTTATTCATAACAAGCTTAATTTTCAATGAAAACTAAGTAATTTCAAGATTTAAAGGTATCGTACTATCATGAACAATAATTTGTAAGCTTACATTTTTTAATTCTAGGTAGAAAAGTTCGATTTTAATCTTCCCTTAATCACAGAATATTTTATACCTACCGAGTACTTATTTTTTCATAGTTTGGTCTAAGCAGGTAGATGCCTAATTTGGTATATTACAGCACATGATTAAGTAAATAAACTACAAACTAAGACGCGTTCATAAACGTTTTTTGTGACATGACTAAATAAATGCTTTTAAGTTTTTAACTGTAATGCAGTCCCCCTTTTCTAAGTACACATATGGCAACGGTGTATACGAAGTAAGTGACTACTCACGTACTATGTATAAACTAACTTCTATGGAAACTATTAATTAACTTCACAATGTCCGGCGGAATTATTGAAATGTTCATAGCTGTACTAAAATGACAACTCATGAGGAACAAAGTTGATAATTGTAATGCCATTTATTTTTTTATGATCTCCAGAACCCCAATAAATAACGAAATAGCTCTACAAATGTGCACAAACGCACCTGCTTAATGAAAAACTTGGGATGTCCTTAGTAAAGATATAGTTTATTGTAACGAAATTATACACATTACGACGTTATTAAAGTTTTTCAACTTATTAAACTTAATCGATTTTATTGAGCGGCCGTTACTTTAAGGACTCTTACATTAGATCTACGTTAAACATGATTAAAATTACCTAATTTTAATTAAATAGATAACAAAGAAACCCGTTTTAAGGGTTCAAAAATATTTTAAACAAATCCTTGTCTCATTCAGGCAAAATCTTCGATGCTCCAACGCCAACGGACCAACCATTTCTCAGCGCGCTGACCGTCCGCGTCGCGAGCAAAAAAAGAATATTATTTATAACCCCTTTATTCTTTTTAAAGAAAAAATATACTTATTTCATTTTTTTTTTCTCTTTTATGGCGCGCAGTTAAACGCGACAACTCTGGGTTACGACCGGCCAGTCCGAAAACCGAATTTTGTTACTTCTTTTTTCAAGGTTTAAAAGCTTTTTTATGCATTTTCATCGTTGCTGCTTTGTAAGTACAGATTTTCGATACGGGAACTGAAAATAAGCCTGTATCAACACTTTATTTAACCTAAATATTGGTATAATTCTGGACCATAAAAATTAACCGGCCTGTCGCGCCGGTATTCTTAAACTTCTGCGCGGGAAACAGATCTGAGCACTTATTCTCAGAAGCGAACAATCGTCTTATTTTGTTCGTTATCTCAAATGAATTATTCATATAATCACATTTCCTACGTTGTCCAAGTATTATTAGATCTAATTATTTTTATTTGTTGTTATATTCGAAATATTCATTATGTCGCTATAAAATCTTCAATTTAGCGTTTAATAGTTTAGTTAACGACTTCTAAATAATTAAATTGATAGTATTAGTAGTAATTAAATGATAACGTTGACCATTTTGAGATTTTATATCAGTTGGTATATATTTTTAATTTGTAACGAGTTTGTATTTCGGATTTTCCTCAATTGAATAAAAAAAAAAATAACCTCAATATTTTTACAATAAAATCCAGTCGCATTTACAGAGACAGCTATTAAACGCGTGCGGCTTGCTATGAGAACCTGCGCGAGAGTTGAGAATGTTAATGCGCTCGTGTTGTTCGTTGGGCACACGCGGAATACTGAATGCGTTTACAAATATACTGTGCAACTAATATAACCCAGCATGAAATAAAGTTTTCAGTAAGACCTCTTAACTTCTATAAAAAGTTTGGGTAAAACGTCGCTTCTGCAGTTTTGAGAGACATTGTGTTTGAGAGACTAATGCATAAGAAATTTAAATTTGTTTTTAATTTTTTCTTTTGTTTTCCCAGACATAAATAAAACGTCAAGCATAAAGTTTCAATTTAATCCAATATTGAATTAAACAAACAAAGAAATCTGAAAATATTCTGCGTAGGTACTTTTACCCTAAAAAACGTTGGCTCAATAGTGCCAACCACACAAACTACAAAGCCTTTACGGCCTGTAGAGCGAGTCTTCTTCATTTTCAATCTTCGGAATTCAAATCGTTGGATAGTTTGTCATTGGAATTCAAATTGATTTCGACATGTCATCGAGTGAGATTTCATGGTAGACTGTTAATCTTCGTTTATGATTACAATACGGACCACGTATTCGTTCTTTGTCACTCTACGCGTAGGTTATATGTCATGTAATGTCGGTCTAAGTATACAGTAGAATGCTAGCCTGGATAAAATCTCTATTCATGCTAAAAATCTTGGTTGCTGCTTTCTTCTCTTTGATTTAATCATAATTTCACGAGGTGATTCGTAAAGATAAGAATTTATCACAATTCTCTCGTTAATTACTGCAATTAAAGAGGAAAATAGTAATAAAAATAAAGCATACGTGCGATATCAACCGTGAAGATATAAATTTTGTCTCCCGACGACCGTAATGAGCGTTTCCTAGAAACGTCTGATTCTGCAAAAGTGACGCAAAAAAAAACGAAAAAAAAAAGAATCATTCCAAAAACAAACGCTTGCTCTTATAACCAAGTGATAAAGTTCAAAATTGTACAATTTTAATTTTTTGAAATGAATTTTTAAAATTGTAATGACGATAGTACGCGCCAATTTTTTTGTCAAGGGTGAATCCGTGTCCTGTTTCACTTGTTTTATTATTAACATTTTTTAAACTGGCAAGTGTTACTGCAATTATTATTATTGAATCACGAATTGGAAGAAAGAACAAACGCCACTTTTGACGTAATATTCGGTTTAATCTATAAATTGTGCGTTCGTAAAAAATCCGTTTTGTTTTTTGGATTAATTAATAATCCCTTTCTTCCAATTGGTGGTTCAATTTGCGAATTATACTTAAAAATTATAAATCTGATGATTATTGAATTAATCCATCGATAATCCAAATTACTGTGCATTATTGCGCGGAAAGTTGCGTGCAAATCCGGATTTAAGGGTTTAATCTTAAAAATTGGAGATATGCGTACATGTTTATAATCAGATTTTGTTTTTTATCGTAATCTTGGTGCCTACCAGAGTGCCTTACTTACTTAAAATGTAAATTGGGCGGTCCAACAACGATAATTCCAGCCGATAATAGAGTTCGCGAAAAAAATGGCGGCGAATCGAAACTGGTTGTCAATGAATGCTGTTTGCAGTAGGTACCTATATTTATTTTAAAATAATGGTTAGATACTATACCTACTGTAATTTAACATCTAATACGATTGTGAAGGATTAAAAATTTTGGTGCCTGCGCCGTTGTTTAATCGACGAATTATTTTGAGAATGCAATTAATCTATTCGTAAAAAAAAATATAAGTATTTCTTTTCATTTTTCTCTTTAACAAGTATAAATGTAAGTAGAGCTGCCTAGTTCCCTACACTACATTAATTAATAATTTAAAGGAATACAATTCTACCTAAGTTATAATCATATACATTATAGCAATCCAGTAAAAACTCAATACAAACTAATTTAGTAAAGAACTCGGAGAAACCAGATCAAATAATGACTAGGTATATTTCTATAACGAAAACTAACATTATTCCTTCATCAAGCCAATAATCGGCTTTGTTTATTCATCTCTTTCATTCACAAACAATCATGTGACCTCTCGCTCTTTCATTTTTTTTTTCGTAACCAATTAGCTACTAACTGCCACTTGTAATGTCAACGCGTTGTTATTATTATTTTAAGCCGTAATTGTTTGTCTAGGTCTCTTTAATGAAATTATTTTCATATTTCCGTTTTTATAAGAATGTGCTTCGTGTAAAACCATTGTTAAAGTATTGTTTCACATTCTCATTACTATTTACTTAACACGTCTACCACAACGAATCTATACAAAACCATAGAATTAATAATTCCACAAACCACACGCCAACTTTTTTTTTAATTTTCAACCAGTGTTGCCAAAGTTTTGTCCGGCCAAAGCAAAAAGTTCCTTTGACTTACCAATTACTTAGGCGCAGTCAACCCTCCGAATTCCGACGCATTATATTCTCGTATAAGCACAATAATAATCGTTTTTCCCAACAAGCTCACGCACATCTCCTTTGTAACCGGTTCCATAAGCAACAAAACGGACATTTAAAACTAAACCCTAAATTTATCCTCTGAGGGACCATTATCCAAGATCCTTCTCTTGAA